GTGACTGTATAGCTTCACAGTCGGATGGACATGATCTTTTTTCTTTTTTTCCCAGGATAATGTGTGTGTGCGAATGATATTCCCAACCTTAAAGCTGAATCATATGACTCCAATTCCTGGTAATGAAGGGGGTCTCTGTGCTGCCCTTTAATAAGGTGTCTGAGGGACATACACAGGCTGAAAGAAGCACAATGAGCGTTTACTACAGCATTGTAGAGAATTTACTACTGAATGAAGATCCTTTTGAATTAACAACAAATACAGTATATGGTAAAAGGTTGTCAGAAGAAGGTACATTCACAAGCTAATCACAATCACTGGGTATATTAATTAAGATTTAAACCCTATTTCAGAACATAATTCGTCCCTATAAGGCTGCCTTGCTGGAATTGTTTTCTTATTAGCATCATCTCTGATGCACTATTACCAAGTCCTCCTCCCAATTTGGCCAGACATGGAAATCTTTCACTGCTAATGCAGATAAGCTTCCCTTCTCATCTGTCTCAAAGAAAAGCTACAGTTCAAATTGCCTGGGATGGTTTATCTATTGATAAATCTTAACATGTATATTTTCATGTGTATAAATTAGCAAGAGAAAGCATTCGTGTTTTTATCAGTTTTAGCTCCTTTTTATTCAACATTATTGTGTAGAACATCCAATGTAAATACATTTCAAATCAACCACTCTGTATCCAGGAATCTACAAGAAACAGTGTAAAAAGGCTTCCCAAGGGGGTCATAAAAACACAAAGAGAAAAAGATGATGATGAATGCAGAAAAGTTGAAATTTTCTCTCACATGCAACGTCTTCCTCTTTTTCATTCCCCTTTCTATAAATCAACCACTGCAGTTACAGGGATATTGATGACTGAACTGGTCTGAAATGACTGTTTAAGTGACTTAAAGATGCAGCAACATTTTAACTATAAACTCAGTTCAGTCTTTATGAGACTGCTCAGCATGTATAATGTCATAAAATAGCAGATCACCTGTCTGTGTTTGCCCAGCGACAGATATGAAACATGCAAGTCATTGCATAACATTATCATTATCTTGCCATGTTATGTTGCGTTCGTCAACCAGCTTCCAAAACTAACTGAAGCTGTATTTGACCAACAAAGAAGAAAGTTTTGGAGCTGGAGTCTACAGCCACCAGTACCCAGTGGGTTATACTCCGGTCAATGCGACCTACTAAAAGATATTTATATCCCCCCCACCACTTTTTTGAGTCATCTCCTAAGGACAACTATGCTATTTCTGTTGTGGTTCTTTCTCATGCTCTATCTCTCCTGTCCCTCTTCTTATCTCTCTTTCTCCCTAAACTAGTTGCTGGAGGTCACCCTGCTGTTCTAGTTTAAAATTATATAATAATTCGACAGAATGAAACCAGGACAGTGAGGAGCTGTGGTGCCACTATGGTGCAACGTGACTCACTGAGCTCACAGGATGAGGAAACATCTATAGGTCTGAGCAAAACATTTCCTTAGAGGGAGACAGACTGCTCTGTGAGTTATGACACTTATTTCTTGAAGTAAAAATCAGCAGAAGAGCTCTTTCACATGGAGATAAAATTTTTGAATCACATGATAATCTGTACTTCGCTTCATTGTTGATTGAGAGTATATTTCCAGGTGGATAATAATCAGTATTTGACAATCAATAACAGGCCTGCAGCATCTCCAGTGCACAGCCAAAGGAGTGAAAGGCAGTATCGCGCTTCATTGGCATTTCTCATAATGTTAGTTTCAAAACTTTTACTTCTTGAAAGTATTATGTTCATTATGTCAGACAAAAGCCAGAAACATTGTTGTGAGAGACTTTTCCAGTATATTTAGCTGAAAGTTGACAAAAATAAAAAAATCAATTCAATTAAAAAGTCTATAGTAATATTGAAACTCATAAATTGAGGCTATGGTGTGTTTTCCCCCTTTTTTTCTTCTCCCTTTCTTTTTTTGTTCCAAATTGACAGTGCAGTGCAATCTTGTTAATACTGACAGTACAGCATAGTGTAGTGATGCTTAATGAGAACTGTATACATATTATAGTATACTGCGTGCACTGTGATCATATACATATGTGTGTATATGTCTGGAAATAATTTAACAGGTGCCCTCTCTGAAAGTTACAATTTCATCCATTATTTCAGCTCTTGTTAGTTTTATAATAATGAACTTCAGCAGTGGACAAAAGGAGATTAAACTCTGTGTTACATTTCTAAATATAATATATACAGTATGTTTCCTTATTCTCTTAGATTTATATCATCACATACAGTACGTCAGAAACATGAGCCATTTCCATGTTGTCACCAGAGATGACTATGCCACAGTGCAGACATGATGATAGTGAAGACCCAGTTGGATGAATGGAAAACACATTTAGTGCTGTACATGTGTTCCAGCAGCTCCCTCCAGTGGAAGATTTTGAGGATTATTTTTACCCCCTTTTTCAAAAATAGTAAAACCTATTTTTAACATGCAATATCAAATGTGAAGGAGTGTAGGAAAGAATGAATAACGTAAATCACACTTCATACAAAAGAACTACTGATTTGAAGAGTTACTTGATTGTCAGAAACTTGTTTTCATTTTAGTTTATAAAAATCATATTGTCATATTTAATTTGAAGGCACTGTCAAGTCTGATCTCTTATGAGCTTAACTGTAGAATTGTTACAGTTAATTTCAAACAATGCAGCAGCAGAGCTGGCACATAAGACAACTATAACTTAACTCTGTCTAGCAGTGAGTGGTTCAAGTGCTTATATCTTCATAGTGGTTTGCCTCGTTCTGATATTGATATTAATCATAGAGAAACCCATGACTCACCTGGGACACAATACAGGGGATAACTGTCACATAATCTGAAAAGTGGGAACAATGCTGAATAAGGATTCACACTGTTACACATTTGAGTTTCCCACTGTTTCTGAAAGGACCTCTGTTGAGGATTACGTAACTTTTCTCACATAAAATATTGAACAAAAACACCAACACATAAACTGAGATGATTCTTCATGTATTGACTTTTTATTTGAGGAACCCTTTATACAGTTTGCCATCAAATCTTCCATTCTGTAGGTGGGAGTGCTCTGTGTGTTCTCTGCCAACTTGTCCCCAGCTTCTTTCAATGCAGCGTTCAGTCAGGTCCTCTGTTTGCACTCGGCTGAAACAGACATTACAAAGGTTCTGTGGACAAATACATAGAGTTGGTGCAGTCTGACATTAATATATCATACAGTCTCAGCTAGAAGAGACCAATAAATAGTCTGCTATGCATCTTTTAGGGAGGAATCTATACAGCACAACATGAACACAGTAATGTATTCTTCACTTAAACAATCCTGGAAAAGGTGATAAAAAAAGTTCTTAAAAATGAAAAAACGTAGACATGGCCTGCACCTTAATGTGAAAAAAGTAAATCTCACATCTTCCATGCAGGAACAGATGATGTTGACTTCAGTTGATGGTCAGTCGATGTCAGGATGAAAAAAGTGGTCGATGGAGGTCTTCTTTCTCAAGTAATCGTGGAGTGAAACTTGTCTTGGTGTTTTCTGTTCGACTCTGAGTTTGTTTATGTTCAAATGATGATCAAGACTAAATGTTCTGTACGTGTCACCACAGCAACCAAACGTGCGTCAGTCTTAATATTATTAACATTACGTTAACACAGATTTTTATGGGCATATGCAGGCAATGTGCAACAGTTTGATGTAACTTATATCAGCTAAATTGAAAGTAAATTTACTAAATATTGTTAATTTCACTTGATGTACATCTACATCGTCTCTATCTTTCATATAAACTCTGAAACAACTGTAAAGTTAATATTTTAGTCCATTTCTGACCAAACTCCTTAAAATTAAAATAAAAAAATCATATTTTTGATTCATAAATACATTTTTATCATCAAAAATCAATTAAGAAAAAAAACAAACGCCAGGACATTTGCACGGACCAGTGAGAATATACAGCATAATTTCAGTAAATATTCAATAGGCCTAATATTTAAAATCAAACAAAAAACACACTGAGCCCGCAAATTTACATAAAAATTACTGTCTATGTTCCACTGACGTAAAGGCAGAAAAGTATGAACGAAGTAAAGGTCAAGCTAATAAAGCAGAGTAAATTTGACAAAAAAATAATATAGGCTAATTAAACTAAATTATTTCAGGTAGAAAGTGGAGGTGAATAAAGAGGAAATCTATAAGGCTGCAGCCAAGTTGAGCTAACTTGGTAGGCTATATTAGTTAAGCCCACTTAAATGTTTGTATTAAAGACAAGTTCTGCCAATTTAACATATTAAACTGTGTGCACACTATGTCAACTAAATGGCAAGGTGAAATATTACGTTTGGGCAACAATTGTTCTAAACCTAAAAAGTTCAATGAATTCAAAAAAGCTGTGAAATGAGTTTCTGAACTTTTTAAAGTTGAGCCCACTTCTCCATTTTTACAGTGTGGATAACAGCATTAACAGGAAGCTAAAATAACAACAGCAGCAGCAGAGACTGAGGTGAAGGCAAACACATGACAAACAACATCACAATAAAGGAACAGATGAGGGGTTAGGTTGTATAAAGTTCATGACAGAAGAACTTGACAACATCTGTATCATCTGATTCCTACTGTTCTCAAATAAGCTGCTTACTTCATATTTGATAATAAAACATTACATCTTTATTTTTACATAATTCAAATCTTTCTTGTTGTCATGTTTACAAATATGTAAATCAATAGTGAATCGAAAGTCCAACATTTTGTACTCTCATACGTAACACATTCAAACATGAAAGGAAATAGTTACTCAGAGTCTTTCAAATCTTTTCATATGAAACGTATTTTCAACATATTGGTAGAGCAGTCTTAAAATTTATTCACTAACTTTCCTGTTTTTTTGTTTTTTTTAAAATGTAGGATAAATAGCAAACTCTTGTCTGTGGAGGGCAGCATTACGCTTTTGTACAGTCTGCCAGAAATTCATTCGAAGAAGACGACAGACGGTGGGACAGGCTGCAGTGGGTAAAAAAAATCGAAAACCTGTCGTCTGCTTCTGTGAACATGTATTTCAAAGTACGTGCTGCAACAAAAGAAGACTGCAAAGAAGTATCGCGAATGATAATGGTGAGTCTGAGTCAACGGTGTGAACTATGATGCCAGCTAATTCCTGTCTACAATGTTTTCTTCTTTACAATGAATACATGTAATATCCGTTAGCTGAATATACTAACTCAGTTTAACAATTTTACAGGAGTTGGCGGTTTATGAGAAAATGCCTGACCAAGTGAAGATATCGCATGAAGGTAATTTTGCACTTAATTCATCAATTATTGATACATAGCTAAAAATTACACAGACATCTTCTACGGCCTAAATGCCATTATCCAGTACAGAGCGTCTCCACAGCAGGAAAAGCACAAGTGGAATAAATTAACATTAATCATGGTGTGTCCCAGTCAGCTGGGCGAGCCAACCCGCACTACCAGGACTTCCCCAGACATCATTAATGTTATCAAATACACCTGTGCTTTTCCTCCTATGACACGTCAAAATGTGTGTTGTGAGAAAGGACTATTAAACTTTAACCAAAACCTGGTAAATTATTGAAAAGTACACAGTTACTAAACCTTGCATAGTGTAGCCTATCAATGTTTCATGTTAATTCTTTGCAGTACTGGATGGTGTCCTAAAAGACCATGACTTGAGGATAATAGGCTAGTTGTTAAAAGACATGCACCAATAACAACAGTATGTGTAACACTACATGCAACTTTAGTCCTTGAGCAAGAAAAAATCAAACATTAATACTAACTAATAACATTAATTAAAGATATCTCAGTTTCATTTTAAGTGTCCAGTGAGACATTATGCAAAGAGTCTGGCAAAACTTATTGATGTTTATGTAACTCTGTTTCTTTTCCTGATATGATAAATCAATATCTGCTGTGAGAAAGTTTTATAGTGCTGTGCAACCATGGCAGAAATAGTGGTTTTTTGTCTGACAGTGTGTGAATAGCGTAATGCGCAGGGTGAGAATAGTTATTATAAGAGCAGTAAGACTTTGCAGTGAGACATAGGTAATAACAAATGGAGTGCAGTAATCAGTAACAGTAATGAGACTACAGTCAGTTTGATAAGCAGGAGCGGAGTTGAGCATTTTTGACTTTTTAGCAGGATAGGATCACATCCTTTAGAGAAAATTTTAAAACATGGTTGTGTGGGTGGGGAGGGTCAGTGGCACTTCTTCCAACACTGTATCATTCATGCAAGTTGAGGTCGTGTATAAATGACTCTTAATACAATCAGTCCCCCTCTCTAACTCTATCATACGTTAGAAGTTGTTTGAGTCTTGAGTATGTTTAAAAAGCAGTGGGTAACATATGCTGAACAAAAAATATAAATGCAACACTCCTATTTTTTATGAGTTGACATTTTCTACACTCAGAGGGCATATTTCTCTTAAATCTGTGTTTGAATCTGTGTTAGTGAGCACGTCTCCTTTAGCTCATCCATCCACCTGACAGGTGTGGCATATGAAGATGCTGATTACACAGTGTAATTATTGCACAGGTATTCCTTGGGCTGGTCACAGGCCACTTTACAGTGTGCAGTTTTATCACACAGCACAATGCCACTTATGTTGCACGTTTTCACCTTGTTTTCAGTCTGCATGTTTTCAGCTGGTTTTCAGCTTTCAATTGGCATGTTTAATATCCAACAGAGCTGTTGCCTGTGAAATGAATGGTCATTGCCATCTGTAATGTCCAGTCTGAGAATTTGGCAGTAATGTGTGTAATTTGTGGTTAGATCTGGTTACAACCACAGACCACACCAGCTCAGGACCTCAACATCCGGGTTCTTCACCTGCAAGATTGTCTGAGACCAGCGACCAGGAGAGCACAATCAAAGAATTTCTGCACAAACAGTCAGAAACCCTTTCAACCTGACTGCAGTTCTTCATTGTAACCGACTTGAGTGGGCAAATGCTCAGCTTATAGATACTGTGACAAGATCCTCATGGTTGTGTGCATGAGAATGCTGCAACATGAATGCATGATAATGCATTGCAAGGATCTGTACACAATTCCTGGAAGCTGACAACATCCCAGCTCTTGTATGGCCTGCATATTCACCAGACATGTCACCCATCGAGCATGTTTGGGATGTTCTAGATGCTCTCTGCATGTATGACATGTGTGTTACAATTCCTGCCAATATCCAGCGACTTCACAGAGTCATTGAAGAGGGGTAAACCAACATTTGACAGGGCTCAACAACCCGACCAACTCTGTGCAAAGATTTGTCGCATTGCATGAGGCAAATGGTGGTCACACCAGATAATGACTTGTTTCTAATCCACGATCCTCCCACCCAAAAATGCAAACCTGTGGCCACAGTCATGTGAAATCTACAGTTCAATGCCTAATAAATGTATTTTTTCAAAATAAAACTACATGTTTTAAAGTTGCCTTTTATTGTGACCAGCCCAAAGCTCACCTATGCAATAATCATGCTGTGTAATCAGCATCTTGATATTCCACACCAGTGAGGTGGATGGATGAGCTAAAGGAGAAGTGCTCACTAATACGGATATAAACACACTTGTGAACAAGATTTGAAAGACAGAAGCCTCTTGTGTTTATAGATCTTTTATTTCAACTCACGAACAATGGCAGCAAAAACAAAAGTTTTTCTTTTTCTTTAGTGTGTGTATATATATATATATATATATATATAGTATGTATGTATATACAACAGGCTGAGAGTAAAAAATATAACGATGATGTTTACAGTACATACGTACCCTGTGGAGTTTTTTTGACCACTAGTGGGACTAATGGTCAAAAAAACTAGTGGGACTGTAGAGCAATGTTTTGTTGACTGGGTCCCCGATTTGTTTCTGTCTTGTTTTTTACCAGCACGCTCACAAGTAAGCCATGAACCACGAGCACAAGCATGACGCAGTAGACATTTCTGTTGACTGAAGAAAATGTATATCAACGGCTGGTGGCAGTGTAATATGCCATATGGTTAGCAATGTGCCAGTTAGAGAGGAATAGAAGACTTCAAGCTGATGCAGGTTTGAAACATTCAGGACATGACTTTGAAAATGTTTTATGAGGCAGTAAATGCATTCAATTAATTTACAATTAAACAGCTTAACTGGAGTAAAACCTGCAGATTTAGATAGAAAATTATGAGATGTACAGCAGAAGGATGTGATCCATAGCTGGAATAATGTAATCTCTCTACAACCTGTTGCTTGCCTAAGTGACTGTTTCGTAGCAATATTGTTGATGTGTCTTTTGGGTGCTGGTGAATTGTAATTGAGAGGCATGGGTAAATTATCTGTCTTGTTTTACTTTAGAACTGGAGCATGACGGTTTCTGCCAGAATCCCTTCTTTGAATGCCTTGTTGCAGAAGTACCTGAGGAGCATAAATCAAATGAAGGTAAAGTGTGGTTCAAGGCTTTTTTTGGTTGTAGTCTTCCTTGTGAGCTGGCTTTGAACTTGTCGGCATCTTGTGCAGATAATAAAAGGTCTGTGCCCTTGCTGTTTAGATATGCCCATTTAATATCCACCAAATCACGATGACTATTCAAGGGCTGCATCATAAATCAACAGTGTCAGGTGTAGTTTCTGTGTTCCTTTTCACAGCTGACAATATGATAGAGGAAATACTCTGTGTGTGTGTGTGTGTGTTGTGGGTGCAGTGCAGTGTTCACAGTCAGTTTTAAATTGACTCAGTTGTCACAAAAGTTCAAATTCACATTTATGTGCCTTACAAGCAGAAATTATCTTTCAAATCGGTAATAATGCATGTATATGCACTTTAATAATGGTTATGAGGACCCCAGAATTCAAATGAGGGCAACATTTTTTATTTAAGACACAAGTGCAATTATTCCACTAATTTTGCTCTTCTCCCTGCTTGTCTTTTTGATGGTTTGTGTCTTCTGTCCATATAGGATTCACAGTTGTCGGATACGCCCTTTACTTTTACACTTACAGTACATGGAAGGGACGGGCAGTATACTTGGAGGATCTGTATGTGATGCCAGAATTCAGAGGTAAAACATGCGTTGCAGTGTTGTTAGCAAAGCTTAAAAAATGTGTTTTCTTGTGTGATTGTTTCCTTATGTGCTATCTCTGAATCACATTTTATTTATAATATACAGCACTCCTGTACCTCTATTTTAAATGTTTTGTCCCCAAGTAAAAATATTTTTAACCACATGATCTTTAATGATTTCCCCCGCAGGGAATGGGATTGGCAAGGGTTTACTGAGCAAAGTTGCTGAGGTAAGAATGTTTTTATAATTTAAGCCTCATTTTGTAGGAATAATAGGTGTGGTGTATAGCTGTATTATTGATTCTTGTGTAGACCAGCTGTCCTGTGTGATGGAGAGGTAATGATGCATGTTTAACTAAAGGACTGTTTTGTTTGCTCAGGTGGGGAAAAAGAAGCAGTGTGTGCGGTTGCAGTTGTCTGTGTTGAACTGGAATACTCCTACTCGAGATTTCTATGCGGCTAAAGGAGCTCAGGATCTGACTGTCAGTGAAGGCTGGCACTTTATACGATTTGATGGACAAAACCTGGACAATTTAGCAAATGAAGCACCTAAAGATTAGTTTTTCAAGGAAAATATGCACACGGTTTGTTTTCTACTATAAACTCTCACCCTCTGTAAAACATTGGTAAAATAAGCTTCAGTGCACTGATTTGAAGCCAGTCAAATTTACTAGGACCTACATATGATTACCAGCCATGCAGTCGTGGTATTGTTTTCACCTTGTGAGTCTACGTCTGTTGTCATCATGGCAAAACATGTTCCTGGAGACACCCTCTGTAGCAGGAACTATGGGACAGTTTTGAGTTCTTGGTAGGTGTTTATGTGTCCGTCTGTCAGATAGATTTTGTCACTGTGATAGTGTCACAACGGTGCAAGATACAGTCAGGAAACTTTACAGGTGTGATGTTGATGATCAAAAACCAAATTGAAGGCCAGGTTTGAAGATGCGTACCCTTGTAATAATGTAGTATTGATTGCTGTGTACTCATGGGTCAGAACATCAGCATGTTGACAGGCACCACGGCTGGTGTGATCCCAAAACAAGATTGTCTCTAGTAAATAAAGATGATGGTAAATTATCAATAATGAATTTGATCTGAATAAATCCAATCCCAGATGTGATACCACATTTTTCCAGCAGGTGGCACATAGAACTCCTCTTTTTCTGCACACTGAGGCCTGTACAATCTACATCAGATAATAGTAAAGTAGTAAGTCAGAGGAGCTTGATTTGCTGCTTGGTCTTGGAAGATGCCACTCTGTTGAAAATAATAATAATTTAATTGAATTAGTCAACTCTGAATGCAGAGACTTAATGGGCCATACTTTCAGGTCTCTCCTGGTTAATGGAGGCAAAGGAAAGGAGGATGTGCAAACAAACTCAGTAACCGAAAACACTGTTATTTGTTACGTTTTTTTTATTGTTTTATTACTAATATTGCCCAATAGTTCTGTTCATCACTCTAATGGAAATCATAATGTCATTAAAATTCTCAGTATTGAGTGCAACAGTCACTGAAAATTTATTTTTGTATAAAATATACTCAAATCCACAGGAACATATGTAAAATTACCCATAAGAAAACTGTATGACAGTACATTTGAAATTCACACACATGCCAGAAAAAAATAAAATTTACAAAACCTATAAAGGCTGTGTTTACATTTGTTTCAACCATGTTACTGAAGTCTTCTGGTTCAGAGACGGGAATCAAAATGAAATCGCACTGGGTGAAAAACCCTAGTGTACGCTAGCTGTTACTGGTTACAGTTAAAAGTTAAATTAGAAAATGTCAAATTTCCTCAATGACTTCAAAGGTCACAGAATGAAATGTACTCCTTATCATGGATTTATTATTATTTAGAAAATCTTTATGAACTTTATTTCCTTTAAGACATAAAGCCACATTATTGATCATGGTGATTGCAGAGACATCTGGAACTACCATCTTATTTCCCAGAAAGAGGAGCTTTTTGAGCATTTACCTTTCTGCAGACAAATAGACTGGATGGTTATACACCATGGGTGATAGGATTATTCTGAATGTGTTGCACAATAACAAAATGTATTTTGTGCAGCTTTTATGTTTCCCAACCAGAAAATCTGAAGCAGGTTTAGGATACATGGATTTAACAAATGATTACAACACTTTACATGCTAGCACAAACTTTATAGCCGTGAACACAATTGTTGAGTTTAAGGTTATCTGAGGATTAAATATTGGTAAGCCACCCTCAAGTAAGCATAGGGACATATATGCTGAAATAGTGAAACAATTTTCAGATTATATAAACATTACAAAACACATTAATATGTTTCCTTAAAAGGTTTAGATTGGATAAAGCCAATAAATCCCAAATCAAATCAATACTGCTCTTATACTACTACACAGGGATCATAAATCTGTAAGTGGTTTCCATTTTAAATGCTGCCCTCTCACATTCAGAGCAGTAAACACTGTTCATTTCCTCTTAACAAAATCAGTCTGGTGAATTGGCTGGCTTTCCGTCCTACACAATCAGACATACGCATTTCTCCCGTAGTTGCTTGGGACAGACTGAGATGTTGCCTGAGTTGAGAGCACGTGTCCTCTGGAGGATTGTTGGTATCGATACGGCCTAGAATGCAAAATACGTGTTACAGTAAGGAGGGTATGCATCAATCCCCCTATACCAAGTGGATTAATATCAAATATTTCAGCAACATATACTCACATTTTTTCATTGGGGGTTTGGAGTTTGCAAGCACAAATCAGGCATGAACCTCCACAAATGGCGAGTATGGCTGAAGACCAGCCAATATATAGGCCTTCTCCAATCTCATACCTGTGATACAAGAGGATTTAACACATTTTTCCAAGTGTAATCATCAATTTGTACCATTGTCGTGAAATATTGATGCAGATTGTAAAGACTTACTTAGTCCCTGCGTAAAACTGGTCAAAGAACTCTTGTGTGATGTTGGCTGCGTACCAGGATATAGCAATCATGGTGCAAATCCCTACAAAACACAAAACATAGTTTACTTTAGACAACCAAAACAACACATTTTCAATGTAAACAGCACACATAGTTACAAGCTAAAATGAAATTATACTTTTCTTGTATAGACTATTTAGATCGCCATGTTAGGAGTACGAGTTATCTTTTACAAGTTGTCATAATAGCAATCTATTAGTGTCAAAACAAAATAAAAATAAATAGTTATAGATTGAAATTGTATTTATGTAATTTATAATATATAGTACATTGATTAAGGATGTGATAAAGTTCTTGATGACAACAGTTAAATTCTGCATGTCTCAGCACCTCACAGGCTCAGTCTGTGTTTTTGTCTTGTATGAAAATCCCTGAGATTACCAGTCTCCTGTCACTGCATCACATTTGTATTTTACGTAGTGTGACCTATTCTAACAATCCACACAGTTTTGGTGAAGCCAGGCTTTGTGCATCAGCAGGTTTGTTAGAGTAGTGATAACCTTTTCAAACTGCTGACCCATTTTCTGATAGCTTGTCTTCTGTACACAGAGTTTGGATTACCAGACATGTTTACCTCTCCAGCGTTCTGTGTAAAGATGTGGTTTGACTCTTTTTCTTACATCCATTTCTCATGTGTCAAAATACTTGTAGAGACTGTATTTTTGTCCTTCTAAGCTAGGCTGGGACTGGGGCTATAGGGACCGGACATTTTCATCTATAACCCAAGGCCTTTGTTCATTTTGTTATATGGTCCTTACATCCATCCTAATGTCTTTACCTTGTAGTAAAAAGAAAACTCCTCCTATTGCAGCAATCCTCCCCTTCAGGATGTAGTTTTCTCCTCCTATTTTTGAGCACTGCATTCCTACGAGAGTTGCCGTGAGCCCAAATGTCCCAAACACAATGGCAGCGATCATCAGCGCCCTGGAGGCCTGAATGTACCCTGTGTGCAAAGATAAAAAAATATATATAATAACACACATTGCTTGAAATAACGTTGTTCCCCTAAATCAACATTTTCAATGCAAGCGTTTAAAATGTCACTGTTGCATGTATCTCTGTAGTTTCAGTGAAAGATTTCTCAGTTGCCTAAAGGGGAGCAAACTGGTTTGATTCCTAATGTTTCAACCCTTTCAATCTTCCATCTTACCAAAGCAGAAATTTTATGTATTTTGGAACTAGAGAGTATATTTCTGCCTGTGATAAGCTGAGACAAAATTGTCTAAATAACAAAACTCGTGGTTAAAGACTATAGGGCTGGGCATCCAATGGTTCTACTTTTTATGTAGTAACCAAAATGACTATATGATATAGAAAAGGCTGCCACTTGATTGTGGTTGATACCAAGGAAGTGTTCAGAGTTTCATGGGGTATACAACACTTGTCTGTTGTACCATTTAGGAAAATTTTGTTTACATTTATATATTTAAAATGATATCTTAAGAGGCCAAAGTAGCTAACAGAATCTAACAAATTGTAATTCATATTCTTCAAAATCAGTTTAAAGTTTTTATTATTTTATGAGTAGCTGTTTATCTGGGTTCACTGTGGTTGTGCATACTAACCCTCTCTCATCTTATCATGCCTTCCTGTATATTACCCCTATTTACTGATTATAGCAAGTACAGTAGAAGGCTCCTGAGAGGTTTTTAAAGGTACTCTAAGGTCATGTTTAAATCAGGTAGATGTTGAAGAAAACAATAACAAAAAAGATCATCAGTTCTCAATTGTTGGCATGGATTCAGCAATCTTTCAAAGTCATACTGTTGTATTGTACATGACTGGAGATGAACTAAAATATTTCTTTCTTTTTTCAATTAATCTGTTACACAACTGCTACACAACTTTTATACTGATACCTGAACAGTAAAGTCTTTCTTATTTGCTACATCACAGTCTTCAAAATCTCATTCCTTGACAGGGTGGATTAGTATTCAAGCCTGATAAGCAGTCATCAATACTAATAAAGCATTTGCTGTGTAGGCCACATACCATTAAGTGCGAGCAAAGATGGAAAATCCCGGCAGTTGTGAACTCCTGTAGAGTCAGTTGCACAGGACATCCATAGGTTTTCATAGATGGTTGATGTGGTGATAACGTTACCATCCACTGTAGAGACCCTCCAGTATCGGTTTGGAAGGGCAACCCCAACCATCAACCAGCCCAGAAAGCCCAGGAAGAAGGCAAAAGCTTCCACTATCGCATTCATATTTCCTTGTTTCTTCTGTCCAACCCGTGTAGAGTTATCCAGAGAGAGAAACACTGAATACAAACGTTGACTCTCCAAGCTATGTTCGTCTACAAACGTGTGGTTTTGTTGGCCCCACGGTCTGTGTGCCAGACAAATTCTCTGCAAACCCTGAGCTAAGATGTTCCAGAAAACTACAAATCAATGATTAATGCCAAATAGCCCACTTATGATTTCCCCTATTATTCTCAACTCTATTGAACCTTTTCAAAGGCTCCAAATGTTTACCCAACTTAAAGGACAACAGAGTGGTGAAGTCCAACCTTCAGACCTCCTTACTAACGTCTATAGGCTTAAAGCTATTTGTCAGCTTTTGTTGTTTGCTTTTTGAACACTATGTCAATTATATCAAACCATTATTGATGGGATTCAAGTCATGTTTTGGATCCTCACTTCACCTTGTGTCTGAGGGATGATGGGAAAGTTCAAGGCACTGAGGGGTGAGGATGCATCACCACGTACTGACCCACAGATAAACCTGCTTATCTGACAACTGAGCCCAAAAGACTTCTTCTCTCTTTGTTTGTTAACAAATGCAGAGTTTTTCATTATTAGGCTTTCATCTCTATGGTAATGTAGTACCACTGCAGCTTTTTGGGTCAGTAGCCCAGTGGTTAGGGTGCATACTACCTGGGTGCCACGTAGGGCTGAACAATTAATCGCAATATGGCCAAGTACAATATCCAAATCACAGGAGCTTAAATCTTTTTGATAAAAGTAAAATGTGTCACAACATTCCTTTATAGAGGTAATATGAATGCATAGTGGTGCTACGGAGATGCCCTGGTCTACAAATCATATTCAGATGTAAGGGAATGTGCTTGTTTGGTACAGACCCCAGCAAAAATCGCATTATCATTTTTATATTTCTTTCAGTGAAAACGAAATGCAATTACTATTTAATGATGATAATAATAATATACAACTACTATAACTAATATAATCGTTACTCATATCGCAATCACAATATCTAATGTCAAAATAATCGCAGTATGATTTTTTTTTTTTGTATATCGTTCAGCCATACTGCCATGGCTTTGAGCAGTGAGTTCCTGATAAATGAATAAACAAAGCATTTGTTTTAACTGCTTCAACAGAAGTTTGTAGCGGTGTTGTACTGAATTACAATATAGTTTAAGGTGTACAGTCTCAACAAGAATGAAGTACCACAAGAACAAAGAACATCTTGACTTATTAGATACTCACTCATTAAATACAGTATGAGATTAGCGCATGTAAAATGCCAGGGGCATCCAACATGCATTGCATTAAATACAATGGATACAATTGATGGAAGCACTCATACAATGGCATGGTAAGGTTATAGCTCTATAATAATATTTGCAAGATTTCTGATGTTATTTCTTATTGAGACTGTGTACACAGTCATAAAAGTATAATATAATCAGATATAATCTATGTATTTATCAGAAACATTCATGAAGTGGATTCAACTCATTTTACAGCCTCAACAAAAATAAATGCTACAAGCTTCACAAACTTTACAGAGCTATTGCACTGGATTTCACAGTTGCTGTGTTTTGTCAAACCCCTGTAGATTACAGCACTGCCATTGCATATTATGTGTAGATATTACATATGTATTTATTTTTTGCTTTTGTTAAGAATGGGTTATCTAATACTTTGGACACATATGTGCCTCAATCAAAGAATATAGAGCAGCATTTCCTTCAGTATGACATTAGAGATTATAAAATGCATACTCAGCTATCACATACAGCTGAATCATCAGAAAAACTGAAATACATAATAATAATAACGTAAAAAATATTATTAGAAACCCAAACAATTTGTTATTAATGACCACTAGCAGTCACATTTCCATTTTTTAACAGCTGATACAAATTAAGTGACTTTTCCAGGATCCTGCAATGTAGAACTTTATGATTATAAATAGGCCATTAGACAAGTTCTCTACTTACCTGGGAGAGCAAAAAGGGATGGAAAGTCACGACAGTTATAGATCCCTGTTGAATCACTGGCACAAGACATCCATAGGTTTTCATAGATTGTGGAGGTTGTAATTACGCTGCCCTCTGTGGTTGATTCTTTCCAATACTGATCATGAAGTGATATGAAAATCATAATCCAGCCTACAAAACCTAGGAAAAGTGCTATAACCTCTACGATCTCTTTCATCTTGAAAGTAATTTTCTATTAATAATTAGCAAACCTGAATAGATAGTGAGGAGCTCTATTTGCAGCTCCTGTATCTGATATACATTTTGGGAGTGTGAGAACTTACTCTGAATTTTTTTCTCATGCACTCAAACCTGGACTAATTTGAACATTGATTTGTTGGGTAGCTGCATTATAAGTCTGCTATTCCCGCCCAAAATTGATGACATTTCACGTGCCTGGCACGTTACCATAGAAATGTAAGTGTACAATTAGCTTTTTTCCTCTCTTTTGATTGGCAGTGGAGGAAGAGATAATCTCTTGTAAATTCTTGTTATCTCGGCACTGATTGCTTTGATATGCTTTTGAAACTTATGCAGGAGACAATTATAATTCATTGTTTTGTTTTGTTCTGCAGTTGTTTAAGAAACCTTTCAGAGCACTGTAGTCATAATTGCAAAATGTATTATATGTGCAGGATGAAGTAAGTCAAAGAAAGGTTTAATGATGTGGTGAATGACTGGGAAACACCTTATGTGGCAGTGTTCATATTGTACTGTAGTGTTTTTTCTGTGTGTCCTTCTTGTTTTAGTTGCTCGCATCATCTTGTCCTCCTGCCTGTATCCCCTTTTGAGGAGTTGGTAGCATGTGATTTTAGAGAGGTGATTTCAAGTTCCATAAGCAAATACTTATGGGGAAATACTGAATAGAGGGCAGAGCAATCACTGAAAGCTGGATAAAAAGTGGTGGATGGGTGATTTATTGAAGGCAGAAAGTATCTGTTTTAGCACTGGTTAAGCATTAACGAGTCAGCAACATGACAAAAGATATGTTGAAACTCTTGCTCTTTGCAAATACATTTTTTGTACTGAAGCATATAGATTCAACAGTGAATGAAATGTTGTGTTTACAGAGTCATACAGTGCTGTCGACTAAGGGAAGTTGACCAAAGGCCAGGTTCTTCTAAAACACCCTTACAATTAAATGGTGGTCTCTATACATTAAGTAAAATATGGAAGTGTGCAAAAGTGCAAGATTTTGAAGTAGTGCAGCACAATTTTATATTCATACACTTGTACTGCTTGATCCTCCTCAATACTCTGTGGAGATGACATTTAAAAGCAGATCAAGATGTTTATCCTTTGTTTCAGTCAAGTAATTCTTTGTTTAGGAGAAACTTAGAACTCACAATTTACAGTCTGTATCTTATCAAATGTGAATTCTCTTTTGCTGACCAGTAATCAGAGGTACAGTTCAAAGTACTGTCAGATACAGTATTTACAGTATTGAACAGACACTCATACTTAACTCATAATCATTTTCCTGTTAATATTTTATTTCCCTGCCCTTCCTTCAGTCAGCTGAAATATTTATTCAGTTGTGTCCCCGTTGACCTCCTTGCTTAAAGGGAAAGTTCACTTAAAACAAACCGGAGGTGGCTTTTGGTTTCCATCCTCTGACACTGGCTGTGGCCAGAAGTCACCACTACCTGGTATTAAGGTCCAATAGGAACTGATGTTAGACACATCAACTACTTAACCAAGAGCAAATCCATGGTTTTTCATTTTCTCTTATTTTTTATTTTCCGTGATTAAAATGATTTTCAGTCTTTCAGTGATTCATTTTTAAACATGTTCATTCATGACTGGATACTTAAGTAGACGATTTGTGGCTGGTTATTTAGAGGAGAGACGCTAGACTGCTTTAAAGAATTATTTCAATTTGCTTTAACATTTTTAACCTTTAATTTGTTATTCTGCTGTGTATTTACTGGTCGTGAATATGTATATTCTCACAGAGGGGTTTGATCTTAAAAAAATGCATTCTGTCCAAAGCAACAGAAAAATGTGATATATCATTATTATTATGGGTTAATCTGCCTTAATTGGCGAACTTGTTCACTGTTTCATTGTGATTTCATTTGAAGGTGAACACCCACATTTCCATGAATATGCTAGTTAAATGATGCATGCTACGTTGATTCAAAAACATTGCTTGCATTTCTCTTGCAGTTATGTGTATGCGAGGAAGAGAGAGTGAACTGACACATTTTTTCCAAGCGCAACTTTTCAACATTTTAAATATAATTTTTTATCTTAAATTACTTTAACCATGATGCTGCACAACATCAGCAACAATAACTGCAGTCAGGTACAAAATGATAATGATCAGTGAATGAAGCAGTTTCTGTGAGTTCTGCAATTAAGATGGCTTTAATAATTTAAAATATGTAATTTAATAAGCCTTTTGGCTGTTCTCCCTTGAGCTAAATTTAGATGATGATTAATATGTGGGCTCGGTAATGTGCTTTGAGTAAAAGCTGTTTAAATAATATGACGTTTGTATAACTTTGAACAGTCAGTATTTGTGTGCTGTATGCGGTAGAGTTTCGGTGAAGTCACTGCTTCAGTACCTGGTCTAATCCGTCAATATGATTGATAGCTAAGATTATAGCTCTCTGTGTCTTTGTCTCCATGACTCTCTCACACACACATGCACGAGAAGCTTGAAAAATCATGTATTTGAATGCTGGACCATTACGTAGTAGGTTTTTAGCCATGCTAGCAGCATGCAGTGAAAAAGCAATTTTGTACAGACATTCATGATCCTCTGAGGTTGAATCTTAATGGCCTTGGTGTTCTGCTGTGCAACAACTGTTGGATGATTTGTCATTATATTTATCCATGGCACTCTCAGAATGCATTGTAATTATCTATGTAATCTCTTAACTCTTCATTTCAAAGCAAATGTCTAACTCAACAACTTAGGGGGTCAAAATTGGTTTGGTTTTTAATTCAGTTTCTCTGTTGAAAATGTAGCTGTCTTCACATACTGGTGTGGACAGTCAAGCCACAGAAAGGGGCCCAACATTTGTGCATTGCAAGATTTTATTGATTGCTTTTAACTCGTCTATCTACATTGTTTACCATAATAATAACTTAAAAATAATTTGTTAAATAAGAAATAAAGAAACAGTTATTACACATTACAGTGACAATACAGTGGCTTCTCTTAAGTCCAAATGATTTATATTAGATAAATATGCTTGTGGTTTCTATATAAAATTATTTTTATTCAATTTATTTGTAAATACTAAAGGTAAATAATGACATATACAGTAAGATTACAGCAGGTATTATTAGTGAAACCATATTTACATTGTTACATAATATTTAAACTATGTGATATTTCACCATGCTGCCACTTTTACAGTATCACTATAAATGTTACAAATATTATTTATATGCACACTCAGTTGTCATTTTATCAGGTACACCTAGCTAAAACTAATGTAGTCTACAACACTCCTGCAATAAATCCTCCTTCATGAAGGTTATAATGCTCAGTTTTTATTGATAGTGTGTTAAAGAGGTGTTGATTCAACTTTGTGATAATTTGGGAGGATGTAGTCTGTATTGTGTTATAAGAGAGAGGTATTTCTATTATTTAGCCTACTATCTTTGTTTTGAATGAGGTGGACAAAATAATAGAAACACCTGTGAGCATTAACGCAATACAGTTCCACGCAGCACCACAAACTGCAAACTAAAGTTGAATCAACACCTCTTTAACAGTTTCAACAAAAACTGAACATTATAACCTTAATGATGGAGGATTTATTGCAGGACTGTATTAGACTGCATTAGTTTTTAGCTAGGTAACAGTAACAGGTTATTGTGAAAATGTCAGATAATACAGATTAGGAATAAATTGCACCAAATGAGCACCTACTAAATTTGTTTAATTTCAGTAGATATTCTTTCCCCTGCTCTGTTGCCCTCTGCTGCTCTAAATCAAAGCAGGACACACCCCCCACCTTTGGCTTCCACAAAGTTTGGGTCAAGGTCATTGGGCAGTTTGCCGCCCTCTCCCCAGATGTTCAGCTCTCCAAATACACCTGTTTCTACCATTTCCTCCTGCCAGGGGATTGGGACATTGCCAGAAGCAAAATCATTGTAGAACTCAGTGTCCTTGTTATCCAGGACCACACCTTTGATTGTGCTGAAGGCACCCACATCATCAATATCTTTGGCATAGACCATCTTAGGATCAGGGACAAATGGTGGAGGTAGCATGCCTTTGAACGAAACACAGAACACATGAATAAATTAAAGCATATGGTATATGTATTTCCCCTAGGGGATAAATAAAGTATCTATCTATCTATCTATCTATCTATGTAAGAATTCCTGTTAGTTTTGCATTTCCTCTTTTGTCCCTTCCATATCTGCAGTTTCTTGAATCTATCTCATCCAGTGGGATTAAATTAGATTAAATCAATAAGATCAGTTCTTCAATTAATGCATTTTTTCCTGGGGATGGTTAAGTGGACGTCACCCACCTGCTTCCAGACGGCCCCAGTTAATGTCTTTGAAGAAGGGCTGATTCTTCAGATCTGTGCAGTCATTATTTTTGAACCCGAGACGTTTCGCTGGGTCCTTCTCCATCAGGCCTTCGCAAATATCCTTGCATTCTTTGGTGAAGTTGGGTGTATATGCAACTGGATCGTTCAGGATTCTGCGACTTACCTCTTCATTCTCAACCTGAAGAAAGATACAAACGTTTTGTATATATGATTTTACCAGAGTGAAATGGCATTGGACATCAGCAAAGAGGAGAATTGAGGATATTATATTTTTGCCCATAAAAGCCACTTGATTCATTTACACATTTAGTACCTTCTCTCCTCGTACTCTAAAGGGCCCTTTGGCAGCAATCATCTCATACAGGGTGACTCCCAGAGTAAAATAGTCCACTGTGTAGTCATACTCCTTCTTCTGGAGCAGCTCTGGAGCCATGAAACCTATATTCATCAACAAAACACAAGACTGTTTAGAAAATCATGGCCAACATGGTGGTACAGGATTTTTTTTTCAGGGTTATTTTTTCCTGCATAGCATTTCTTCTGCAATGGGCCAGTTTTTTTTTTTTAACTTCATCCAAATCTAGAATTTTAAATACTGGATTTGTTCACTTACCTGGAGTTCCAGCATATCCAGTAGTTTTGTCTTTTCCTGGTGGAAGTTCAACAGCCAGACCCAAATCTGACAGGCGGACGTGTCCTAAGCGACAAGGCGTTGATTACAACAGTGGCACATGGGTATTGGATAGACCACCAGCTAACATTAATAGAATAACTGGGTTCATTTTCATAAAACATTGGCTATTTTTTCTTTTTATAAAATGTTTCCCTCATGTTCCACTGAACTGCACTGGTGGAGTATTTGTCACTTTGGTGATTTACCCTGGTTGGAAGTGGGCCAGCGTCATGGCTCAAGCCAAAATCAGCTGGTTAACCCACCAGTCTTGTTTTGTGATGGGGTGATGGGTTAGGACAGAGACTTTGGGCTGTAACATCGATATGTCCATGCATAGCATTCATACAGTATATTGCTGCAGAGGAAATGGCTCACCTGCATCATCCAGCAGTACGTTCTCTGGTTTCAGGTCTCTGTAGATGATCCTGTGCTGATGAAGGTGCTCGAGCCCACAGATGATCTGAGCTGTATAGAAACATGCTCTCTTCTCATTGAAACCAGGATTTTTTTCATCCACGTTATACATATGAAACCTGTGAGAATGGAGAGGATGACGCATGACGCACCTAAGAGCCTAGTCTGTATATTAGCTGTGAGGTTTATCTACCCTAGGCTGATTAGTAGAGATGAGAGGGCTGCAACACTGTTCCCATGTTGTTAACTACAGAAACCATGTATGTATGTGCTTTAAAAGCATAGTGTTTATGTCAGTTCTACAGATTTCACTATGAGTCTATAAAGCTGTATTTGGAGTTTATATAGAGCACCTGAGGTCTCCACCGTTCATGATGGTCATAACTAAGCAGAGGTCTGTCTTGGTCTGGAAAGCGTAAGCCAGTGTCACGATGAAGCGACTGTGAACTTTTGCAAGGATTCGCTTCTCCACAATTGCCCCCTAAACAGAAATAATCATCACAACATGATTAGTCCAAGAAAACCAGAAATGCACAAAAATAAAAGCCCCTTTACAAACCTACTGTCCAGCAACACAGGTATTTTGCCTGATTAGAGCTCTTATTCTGACTTGTCAAACACAGGTCCTTACATTTGTGAGAGAAAAATGTCCCTGATCTAGCCCTTTTACACATGTGATGTTTTGACATGTCAAAGTAAGAAAAGCACAGCAGCAACTAATTTTATTCATAATTTCTACCTTTAGATGTGTGTGCCATGATGAGCCTCAGGCTGTAGGTTTTCATTTCAACAGATGAATTCTGTCCCTAAAATCTTGAGTTACTTACTGTGGCTTGTTGAATTGAGGGGACAAATGTTGCGATTCTGTTTTTTTTTTTCTACTGTACATCGTAATGTATAAAGATATTAGAATTTTGCATATAACCACATACTTAGATCCTCCAAGTCTGGCTGTTCTAGGTTATTGCTATTGATCTTTCAGTTTTTAATCCTTCCTGTGGCAGGGCCCACCTAGCTTTACTAGTGTTACCTGAACCATGAAAGTGATGCTGTGTTGCAGTGCTGCTCCAGTGGCAGTCAACAAAATTAAAAGTTCATTATCCACTGATGCTTTTAAAAGCAATGGGCTTCAGTCTAGTCTACTGTCTCTGTGTCTGGCTCTGAGCTGCTTTGTGGGGTCTTTAGGAGAGTCACAAGCTTCTTTGCATTGATCCATTGTGGTAAACACTAAACCTCTCTACTCAGTGGGGCATATCCTCTCACAAACTTTCTTTCTTATTTCCTGCTGTGGGTCAGCTTGCTCTTTTGTTTGACACTGTGAATGGCTGTGGGTAGGACATTAGATGTTGCATCAGTTCTTTACCTCGTAGCCTTTGCGTTTCTTCAGCCTCTTTTTCTCCAGCTTTTTGTTGGCATACATTTTGCCTGTTGCTTTAGCCTGGCAAGCATACACTTCCCCAAAACCTCCTTTACCCAGGACCCTGAAGTCCATGAACCACTCCTCATCAGAAGGCTGGCTCTCCAACCATTTGAACTGAACATAACGCAGGAAGTACATGCTGTTCTTGAAGCCTTCTGTGGCCATCTTCTCCAGGTGTTTGAGCAGCTGCTGCTCGCTCTCTTTAAACAGGTCACCGCGAACGTTCTTGAAGTCTTCTTTAACTCGAGTGACGGCCTTCTCCTCCAGGAAGCTGCAAAAATTCTTTGAAGCTGACTCATAGTACTTATTGACTATTTTTTGGGCCTTCTGTACTCTGTCCTTCTCTTGGCATACAGTGTAGTCTTCCATGTCTCTCCACAGCTCTCCAGCATTTTTATGGGTCACGTCACTCTCCAGAAAATGTTGGAAGAGGCGCTTACCGATGGGTTGTTTGACACACATGCTGTCAAAGGTTGTGTCTACAGTGGCCTTCATGTGTTCACAATCTCTGATGTGTGGGAGTTTCAGCCTGGCACGCATCTTCTTGTCACGCATGGAGGCTGCTGCAGCTCCGTCCACGCTGCCACGGGCGGACACATAGGCAGAATTTGCCACCACTGTCTCCAAACCACCGATGTCCATGGCTGCAAATTTTTTTCTGTAGCACACACAAGTTAGAAGTCAATGACAACTCTGCAGCTGATTTTCCGTTGGAACCATAATGTGGTGTGATATGTATCACTTCCAATTCCCTTCTATTTCCATATTAAGAGGGCCACAAATCAGCTTCAAGTCCATAACAGCAGGATGGGAACTTCCATAACATTCAGTGTACAGTTAATTAGTTTTGGGATGTGTTTTGATTTAATCTTCTATCATATTTTATCCCTACTCTGATTTTTCTTTAACTCACTTTCACAGATAAAACCATGTATAATCACTAGAACACATTAAATTACTATTTGTAGAAAGTGCTATATAACGAGAAGGAGTGATTTTCTGTTATTATATTCTCACATTATCATAATGTGGGCTACTGTATGTCATTAGTCATCAGTATTGGGAGCACTGGGTTACTTTGTTTGATCATGTAACTACTTTGTCAGCACACTCATTTTCCCTGGGTTTGCCTCATATAGAGCCTGTCTCTGTGCACTCATAGTAAATATTAAATGTGAAAAGAGAGTGATGTTGTGATATGCTGCACCCTGCTGTTCAAAGGCAAAAGTCACTGAAAAAGACTTTTTATTTCAGATGCTACAGACAGGAATGAAATTAAGCTTGTGTGCAACTGCATGTGCACATGCTCATGTAAGGTAAAGGATTTGGGGGGCTGTTCCCTTCCCTCATTTCCATTGTGCAGATTACCTCCCTGATGTTAGCAAACTTCAAATGGTTCACTTCCCATTCTGATATATACTGAGACAAAAGAAGAAAGAAGAAATGTTGCTGTGTATTTAACCTTCAGTTTGAGGAATTAGATTTCTTTTCATATTATTGAAAAACCAAAGGATATAAGTATTAGACTGTTAAAAAGATAAACATTATTTTATCTCTATGGGAATATCTCATATGATATCATACTGCATGCTGGGCCGTTCATGAACAGGTCCCATCATGCATGTTGAAGAATACACTCATGCATCATAATTGAACAGGAAAAGTACGGTGTGTTTAGTCTTTCTGGGTGTATATTTTATGTGTATAAGCTGGTCTGTCTTGCCCTGGTACATGTAGTACTGAAAGTGATACTGTTGGCTGCGTAGGTGCTCTCCTGACTCTACATAATCCAGTTAACATTGACTGCTGATACCAGAGATTTACATGATTGACCTCATTGTTAATTAACCTACATTTTTAGACTTGCTTTTAAATATGTTTAAATAGGTGGAACACTCAAACAAAAGTGATGATCCTATCATGTATTAAAAGATTATTGCTGGTCTTTGTGAATTTTAGTGTTGTTTTTACAATCTGAAAAGCAACTTTTATATAAATTGATCTCAAGAATGTGGGGGAATTAAGATTGTCAGGATATTGTTTTTAATTTTGAATTTGTAATATGTTGTTTATGAAAAAATTTAACGTAAGATTTTATAGCAAAACCAATAATGTCAGTAGCCTAATCAAAAAATAGTTATCCACTCACCGTACTTTCTTGCCGTAGCAGTCAAATCCGGAATTGAATGCAATAAATTAAATGGGTATCATCCAACATATATAGTCTATTTTCTTTTCTTATTTGCTCCTTTTTCTTCCATCAGCCAGAACAAAAAAAAATCATCTCCGTCCTGTAGGGTCTTGAGAGGATGTGTTCAGGGTGTGTTGGGGCATCGTGTCGAGGTTTACTCTGCACCTGAAATCCTCCATGGTAGTTCATTAGCTGGTGCGGATTAAATCCTGATCTCATTGGAGGGAGCAATTTGGCAGAAGCTATTAGTGTAACTCAGCAGCAGCAGTGATTACTGATGAGGAATCTGGCTCAATAAGCATCATTTAACCATTAGATACAGAATTCATTCTTGGTTTTGAGGATAGCACATTTCTTTAAGGGCAAAATATGAGAATCTTGACTCTTAATTGATGCTATTCTCGATTGATAATTTTCCTATTTTTCCTGTCCTATCTCAAATGTTTTGAATCATATGGATGAGGAATAACGAAGGCTTGGATACACAAGTAAAATCACCACATAGACTTTGCTCGTCTCTTGTCTTGCCTGTTGAGTGGCAGACCAGCTCACCAGCTCAGAAGCAGGCTGCACATTGAAAGGGGATTACCACCCCCACCCCCCCATGTGTCTGTGTGTTGACATGATCTTTGAACTATTGTACGTCTGTATGAGCTTAACTGTATGAGAAAATACTGTTTTCATTCACTCTGGATGCTGAATGAGAATCCAGAAGTTTACACAAGCAAGGGAGAAAAAAATGATGTGGGTACATTTCAGGTGAGAGGATTTAGTGGCTGGTTGAGGAAAGGGAGAAGAGGGATTTAGATCATGCAGCTAATGAGGATGGGAACGGTGTCAAACAGCAAAGTAACTGTATCACAGCAGTTGTTTAAGATTAAATAGCTGGTCATTTGTAATCACATACACAAAGCTGCTTTCACCAATTAGTAACTGGAAATAGGTAATTTAATTATGAGAGAAAAAGAAAGAAATTTGCAGGCAGCTGCTCTGACACACTGTGATTTGCACAGGCTGACCAAACCAGACTAAGCCTGAAGTCATTTGCAGTATTTTACATTTCCTTTGGTCTCTGTTTTTACAACAGAGTTTCAGCTTGCTTAAGACTCAGTCCACAGAATGGTATACTCATTTTTCATTTTGGCTTCAAACTGTAGCAAAGTAAATCCTAATATTCTAACAAGGTAAAAGACGTGATCATGACTGTACTTCACTTTCACAACCACAATGTTTGTCTTGATTCAAGATACTAAACCTTACTTCAATCACATGTAACTGAAAGGATCTTAAATACAGTAACTGACAACTGGTAACATTTTGTAAACAAAAAATGACACTATTGTTACAGACAGTACAAGGCAACATTTCAATTGTACAGTACAATACTGTAAAATGTGTTGATGTGTGCAGGGTTTAAAAAGCTAAAAAAAAAGAAAATAATGGACGATTGTGACTGAGGACTTTTTAAAATTTCTAAAATCACACCTACCTGTAAAAAAGTCTCTCATGATTAGAGCCAGTGTAGATAAATAATGAGTGTGTTAGAAGAGCTTCGGGTTTACATTAAAATCATTCTATATTTAACATGTAGAAGCTTCTAAGAAATGTTGCACTTTATGATCAACATGGCTGAGTTTCAATTAACTTTAAAGATTTAAGCTTTTGTTGTTATAGTGCCACCATCAGGATCACTGTGTGATGATTTGTTGCATGGAAGGAACATTTATTTTGAAAGAAAAACATTGGACAAAGACATTACAAAACAAACAGGTTGCTCAATAGAAGAAACATTTGAACCGAAACATAAAAAGTAGGTCTGTTTAGGCCGATTTAAGCCCATTTCCTGTCCTGTGCATCAGGTTGGGCCTGTTCAACAGACCCTGAGCATAAATCCTATTTAAATAGGTTAAAGGTGACACAGATTTTACATTCTAGTCTAATCCAGCTCAGTGAAAACAAACCCACCCACCCATCCAGACAGGGAGCTCAAACACACTGATACCTGCATAGATCTGCCCACTACCCTTTCATCTGACAAGTCAGAGGTGAGATCTCAGAAATATAGTCACTATACCTTCATCTCCTGGAGTAACATCAATATAAAACATCAATTTACACTCATTCTTCCATTGCGCTGCCACAATGTTATCATTCTCAGGTGACTTGACTAAATAATGACTTGTTTGTGTTTTGCTGTTGTTCAAAGGCAAGTGGATAATCTTTTTGCTTTTAATTAATTCAGCGGAAAGTAACAATACCATAACATTTACACAATGGTATTGTCAAGTTGTGGAGTTGTCTTGTGATCCTCGGGCAGCTGAGCTGTAACTGCTCTTCGGATGATTAAACAGAGATGTGGTCAAAAACAGCTTTGGAAGTTGTTGTTCTCCCTCAGAAAAATAATCTGTAATTGAGAATGTTGGTGCTGGCCTGGTGACCCAGTATTTACCTGAACTCACTTCACTTCATCAGGAAGAATTTTAATAGAAACATGAAATAATGTATGTCAGTTGAAGGCTGTCTCTGTTAAATGTAAAGAAGTGTAAATTCATGTTCAGTTTAATTTTGAAAAATGAACTATATATATTAACTAATTAGTTTTTACAACCTTTAATGTTATTAATGACCTGCTTGGAATCAGCCTATATCATTTAAATGAGACATGACCCACAAAATACTTGCG